TATTAGCAAACAATCCAATTTTAAGCTAAAAATCCATCTTACTTCTATCAGAACCTTATACAGGACTAGCATGCTTACATAATGCAATGTAACTTTCTTTTTAGATCCATTCAAGCACCCAAAGATAATGTTCCTGTGAGATTTCTGTCTAGCTTCATGCCACAACCAGTATGCTGTGTGCAAACAATTGGCCTTCCCCACCAACAGGTCCTGAAGTTCCTGGCAATGCTCCTCTGCATCTCCCTGCCCCAGGATGTAGGCTGCTGGGATCACTCCCACAGCAGAACACGCTGCTTTCACGCAGGAAAGGCTGATGGCAGTGTTGAAAGATAAGGGAGTGGATTGGAACAAGCAGGCTCCTGAACCTTCTATACCAACAGCCATCAGAACAGCAGTCCCAACCTGCGCTGTTTGGCATCGCTGGGATAAGAGGATGGTTTCATACAAGGGAAAACCAAGGGCTGAGCATGAAGCCAGCGAATACTCAGAGTCGTGTCTCACAAAGCCTCGTGGGGCACGTGCCTGCCTGATGCCATGTGTGCTGCTCAGAGCCTGAGAGAGCCGCAAAGCTGTCGAATCATCAGCTGCAGGGAACAGCTCACGGCCTGAAACGTGTCAGCTCGGTTATTTCAGCACAGAACTGAACAGGGAGAAAAGGTCGCCATTTTCTAATCGTTCTCATCTCGTGCTCTATATGCAAATTACGAGATCACCCAACCCCACAGCCCAGCTCACCTCAGCTTCACTCGAGCCATAGAGCTGGAAAGCTTGCACAGCATAACAGAGCAGCAGGGTCAAAGCTAAGGTTAAGGTTAATGGCAGTTCCCTATTTATAAAAGGAAGCTCAGGAGCCTTCAGCAGCCCTTCGGATCTTGGAATTATTCCCCATCCTGATGAAAACTAGCTCTGTTCAAAGGGTGATTTTTCCCCACAAGTAATGGCCCTCATTTCCTCTTCTCTTAAAAAGAGATGGGATCCTCTCTTTTATGCAGAGCTCAAGTGGTATTCTTGCCATACCAGGTCAAGACTTACTTGAAAGTCTATCTGAAGCCAAACCATACCTTTACTCTCCTGGACTTTACAAGGCACTCTTGGGTGGACAAAGGACCCAACCTTCATCTCACAGTCTATGTTTCTTGTTTTTCTGCCAGCCCTACATGATGGTACAACCAACAGCTCGTGTCTACTGCTGGAATGTTTACGTAAATATTTGCCTAGAAATGTAATGCTCCCATACTTAAGAGGAGTAACTCTGTGGCTTTAACATGTAAGATTTGTACCTAAGAACAAGCAAGGCAACAGACTTGTCAAGGTTAATAAAAGGCAAACTACTACATCTCTTTTCTTCCATGTGTCTACAACAACCAGCTGTCCTAATGGAACAGACCACGTCCCACAAGACCCCAAACCGCACCAGTCTCGGGAAGCTGCAGGTGAAAGAGCACAGCACTACATCCTAACGGGCAGGAGGTAACTTTCTGCCCACCTCCATCCACACGAGCACCATCACCCAAAGCATTCTGGGTCACATCCACAACGGCATTAACAGTGTCTATATGCTGTGCTGTCAGTCTCATTGGTTTATCCGCCCCAGGACCATCCAATCTTCTGACAGCTGAAAGCCCAAAGCGCCAAATTTACAGCATTCCTCCCACCGCCTCACACTGCCCATCGCTTTTCATCAGTGATCAAAGAAGAAAAGAGGAAAACGTAACAAGACAAACTCTGAGGCTGACTGTGACATGTCAGCCGCTCCGTGCAAACTACAAACGTCCTGCTGGCTGCTCCCTTCCAGCACCATACAGACACAGCACCGTTTTTCCACCACCTCACCCTGAAGCCAGGCTGCCGCTATGCACACGGCATCTAAGAAACGCCGGCGCTCACGTAACCTTTTTTGATCTCGGGAAAAGAAAACGGCGTCGTTACAGGTCCTTCGTGCCGAGTGCGTGACCGCAGACAAATCACTCACTTACAGCCAAAACCCTCCTACAGCAGAGCACCATCTCCCTACAGCGGCTTCTTTTCCAGCCGCGCATTATCCTTAACATCGACCTACGCTTTTAAGCCGATCGATGCCGAGAGCCGCACTACGCGGCCGCTCCGCTCCTGCCCCACGAGGCTGCAGCCGGCGGGGCCGTTCGGCAGCGCAGACTGCAGGAGGAAGGCCGGCCGCTGCGGGATGCCGCAACGCTCCCGGCTTCGGACGGCACCGAGAAGTTCTCTCCTTCTCTGAGGAGAGCCGTACGCTCATCCTCCATCGCCGCACGTCTACAGAGAACGGAAAAGGGCAGAAATCGGAGCGAAGGGCACGCGGTGCGCCCTGGGCCGGGCCGTGACTGAGGGGACGCGGAACTTCACCCGCAGCCCGCAGCCCGGAGGACGCCCGGCAGCGCCGAGCCAGCTCCCCGCCCCCGTCCCACCGCCCGCAGCCCCTCTCACCCCGCTCCCCCCGGCCCGTGCCACCCCCTGGCCAATTAAGGGCAGAGGCGCACGGCGGCGCGGCCCCGGGCCCGCAGCGCTCTGCGGCGCCGCCATGGCGCCTCCCGGCCGCCTCCCGCCCGCAGCTCGGACCGCCCCGGCCCCGCACCTGCCGCCGCCGCCGCCCGCTCCCCTCGGAGCCCCGCGCTCACCTACGCTCCGGTAGCCCAGGATCGCGATCTTGCGGGACTTGGACGGCGGCATCTTGTCCCCCGCCCGGCCCCGAACCACATCAAGGGCGGCGGCGGCGGATGAGGAGGAGGCGGCGGGCGGGCGGCTGTGGGAGCGCCGTCAGCCTCATGCGGCGAGGGGGAAGGGCGGCGGCGGCGGCGACGGGCCGAGCGCGCGGGACCCGCGGCGCCTGGCGGCAACAGCGGCGGCAGCGCCCGCCCCACGTGACCGCCGGGCTCGCCGGCCCCTCACGTACCTGTGCGTCACGCGTCACAGGCCAGAGCGGCGACCTCGCCGCCGCCGCGCCGAGAGCCGGCGCCAAGCGCCGCGAGGAAAAACTCGCTGCGTCATGCCTGCCCCCTCCGCCCCGTCCCTCCGCGGCGCCGGCCGCCGATTGGGCCGCTCCGCGCGGTTAAGCGGCGGGGGTTGGCTGAGATCGGCGTTCAAAGGGAGGGGGCGGGGCTAGGGAGCTGCGCGGGAGGGGATTGGCTAGACGGGGCTTGAAAACCGCGCGTGCGTAGTAGCGCTCTTTTAGAGGGCGGTTGGGAGCGGCGCGGGGTGTGGGGTGCTGCGGGGTCCATGAGGGACTCGGCGCACCTCTCGGGGCGGTGGGATGAGGTTTTCAGCTCTCTGGGTAGCCTGGGTACCGCTGCTTGACTGCCCTCCCCGTGAAGAAGTTTTTCCTAACGTTCAACCTGAACCTCTCCAGGTGCAACTTGAGCCCTTCTCATAGAATCACAGAATCCCTTGAGTTGGAAGGCACCTGTGAGATCACCCAGCTGCGATGCCCTGCTGTGGGCGGTGTTGCCAAATGCTAATTCAGCCATTAGATCAGGCTGCCCACTGCCCCATCCAACCTGGCCTGTAATCCTATGGATTACAGGATCTCCATGGCTAAGTACTGGTGACCTGGGAAATGTCACATAAGCATTAGAGAGAATGGTAGTTGGTCAGGATACTTTGAGCTGTGGGGTTGGAGATCATTCCCTGATTATACAGCCAACCTGTTCCATTTCCACGCATCACAGGAATAGGTTACCGCTTGCTTTTTCACCACCCTGGAGTATTCCCTTTAGGGAGAATGGTCAGGCTGAGGAAGGAAAATAGCACGTAGAAATCCTATCTTTGTGTGCAGACAGGTTGTTCTGAGCTCTCTGGGAGGTGTGGAGGGGCAGTTCTGCCCAGGGCAGTCACAGGATTCCCTCTGGCATGGTGTGATATGTTGTGGTGCAGTAGCATCCACTGAATCTCTCTGCAGCTTTGCTGTTATCTTTGCTCTCTAAACCGTGGCACTGCCCAATGTTTGTGCCATCTACCAAGCCAGCAGACTGGAAAGGCTGAGGGAGGAGCTGCAACAACGTAAATGGGTCAGGAAACATACATGAAGTTCATGGTAGCTGCACTTTCAACTTCATTATCCTTTCATATTACTTGTCTGTAGTATTCAGGTATTCTGGCAAGCACCAATTTTTATTTTTTTTATTTCTCTGATTGTTTTTGCTTCTTCCTTGACACCCTACTTCTGTTGATTAGGCCTTTCCCCTTATTCTGTTCTCTTACCTCACTTTTTGGACCTTCGTGTATTCGTTTCATTCCTGTTAACTTCCACTTGTTCACTGTCTATAAGGAGAGCTCACTACTGCAGATTTTCTGCTCCCAACCAGCTGATTTACTTATTGCTTCTAACTGCAATGGAGATGTTCCATCCTAGGATAGTGTCCATGCTTGCTCAGCAAGTGGGGCAGGAACCCACGGCTCATCCCTCCTGGCGTGTTTTAAAATTAGGAAAAACCTACAACTTTCTTTTCTTCCACTGGTTCTTTGGAAGGAAGTGGCTATTCCCTATGCCATCAGGAAAAACTTTGTCTTGTCTGGGCCACTTGAAATGGGCCAATGAGAAACTCTCAGACCAGTTCTGTCCTTTCTCCATGCACCGAGACTTGGTGCTATCACCAACTGGCCTTTGGGAGCAATCTGGGACGCTGCTGCTCAATCAGTAGCTAAAGCAGAGATGTTCTGGATCTGAGGAGGTATTGTTGCATTTCTCCTACTGGGAGATAAGCTGAAATGCTTCCTGTACTGCTCAGGTTGTGTCTTCCCTGCAGCAGGCTGGAGCAGCAGCATTAGCAGTAGGGCTTTTCCTTTGCCCTTCCCTAGCACTACTCCAGCATCTTCGTTCCTAGAGTGTTTGCAGGTTGTCCTGTGAACTACAAAGGAGTTCATAGAACACTGGAATGAGTTACTGACACCAGGCACCTATGCTCAGGGTGTGTTCCAAGCCAGTTCTGTACCAGATGCTCCTTCAAATTAAATGGTTGTACTGGTTATACAAAGAATACAATCGTTGATAAGTTATATTCATTTTATTGTAAACATGTTACCAACAGACATGGTCAACAAATGCAACACATCAGGCATGGTCTAGGTTCCAAAACAAAAAGTGCCGGCACAAATAGAGCATGTATATGCAGTGAGATCAGGAACAGATGTGGAGGCTGAGAAACTGGAAAGCGTCTGTCTTTTGTTGCCTGTGTCTGCTTTGCTGTGATGGAGAAAAAGCTGCGATGAATTTCCTCCAGGAAACATAACCCAGCAGTTAAGTGTTTTTATGGCAATCCAGCACATACAAACCCACGAACACAGTGCTACTCAGGTTCCAAATGCAAAACACATCTGACTTGTACATTCAGTTCCTATAACAGCAATTACCAATTTAATTACCTGCTCAATCCTCTGGCAAATCAGCAGCTTCCCGAGGAGTTATTGGAACTGCACCCAATGTTAGCACTGGGTGTGCTCCTACATGTACGGCATACGCTTTGCTGCCCACTGAAGTTAGGAAGTACACTCAGTTCCATCCTGCACTTGTTCCTGGCCCCTCATGGATTTTGATGGAGATCAAATTCTCCAACATTTGTATAGAAATGCTGACAGAATAATAGTAGAAAAAAAATTAAAAAGAAATAATTCTGCATTAAATGGTACCTGCAACTCCTATCACTGAGACTATTGATGTTATGGGCTTCTGCCATTCACTGCTGGCAGGGACACCCCAGGGATCAGCTTGCTGTATGTGTACCTGTCACCTCTCTGCATGCACCTCAGTGGGAATCAATGCAATCATCATGAGTGCCAATAAAGTAACACTCAAAACTGCCTTTAAATTTGGACCTGGAGTTAAGAGCAAAAAGCACTGTCTGCAGAACATTTTTTTTTTGCATGATGCACGTGATGTGGATACAAGGGTACTATAAAACTATTCAGAATGACGTTTTCTCCTGGAGATTACCCCTAGTAAACATTTAATGTGGGAGCACATAAGGTGTGAAGATTTTGAAGCAAACTGGCTGCTCCTGAGAGCTGAGCATGGAGAGCCTGCTGTTCAGCAGGATTAGGCACGCATGGTTTCACCTCTGCTTGGACCGAAACTGAATGACTCCAGCTTACCCTGAGCTCAATTGAAAGATGGCAAAGTGTGTTCTCAAAGCAGTTTTGGAACTGCTTCAGTCAGATTCCTCGCCTGCTGGGAGGACAAGAACTCGAGCCTTGGAAAGCAATGTCGGTTGTTTCTGCGTTACCCAAACATTCCCAGCAGAGCAATATTCTGTAGGACTGGAGATGAATAGGCCTCAGACTCAACAGTTGCAATTCAGTTGCTAGTAAACAGCAAATACAGTCTGCAAGGCTTACAGACCTCAGACCTTTTAACTGAAAGGAGTCCAGAAGTAAAACAACATGAAAGTGTTTTTATCAGCCAAATGATCAATGTCAGCAAAGGACAATTTTCTGAAGTAATGAGCTCACAGCATCTCTAGATAGTGCAAAATACTGAGGGGCTGAGCTTAATTGAAAAAATAATGGCAAACATAGTTCTACAAAGACATTTCCTTATACTTAAACACATCCACAGCAGGTCAGTAGCAAACATCATCTGATCCCTCGCAAGACCAAGAAGTACTTTAGAATAATTATCTTTTGCAGACATCTCTTGCTGGCAAGGAAACACATGGGGCAGCACAGGAATCAATCACATAGGCTTTCCCATCCGGCTGGCTGAATGGAATCCACTTCTTCAGCACCTCAGCATACCTGGGAATGACAATCTATGCCATGGAATAGTCTATCAGAGCTGTAAGAAGAACTCCCTGAGACCTCCACCTGCAGCATCACCACATCTGTGTAAAGAAAGGGAATTCTGTGGTCTCAGCTCCATAGGTACCAACTGCTGTCTGGTTTTCCCTAGCGAGCTACGTGAAAGGGAAGTGTCCTACATGAAAGCTTTAGGTGCTCTGGCAACACAGCGTGGTACATGCTGCACTGCTGCCAAATCATCCCTCCTTTCTCTACCCCCATTTACTTCTATGCCTTCGTTAAGCTGATACAAGCAGTTTCCCAGCTCTGTAGTAAACCGATCTGCATTAAAATGACATGGTTGGTTTAGTTTGTGTAACAGGTACTTGTGCCAGGACAAGGAGCATGGTAAAGGAAAATGCCTTTTTGATGATACTTTTGTCACGCTTAAATTAATATTCAGAACTGAATTTCAGAAAGCAAGGGTAGAAATCCTCTGAATACAGTTTTGCATCACTGAGGATCCCAGCTTTCCATGATTCTGCTAGCTCAGTGTCCATAACACATGCATGGCACTTGTAATAATGTTAAAACAGGGACTCTGTGCATGGCTGTTTGAAAACTGCAAATTCATTCTGCATGCTAATTTATGCAGACAGGCACAAAGCTGTCTGGATGGAATATGGCCAAAAGACTTTGTGCTAAATATAATGTAAGAAAAAAGCATCTATCAGTGGCTCAACCCTTCATTTTTTCCAGAACTACCCTAATGTAGGACTGAAAATGTTGTTCCTGCAGACTCATGCTAGGCAGAGTGAGATAGAGTGCTGCACTTAGGCAGTTCCATCCCATACCTTCTAAAGCTGGCTGTAATTCTGGTGCTGGAACAGCAAGCAGGCTTTCAAGAAGTCACACCTGTGCAGCTTGGATGGCATTTACAGGTAGTGATGACCACGTGAAATTTCAATCTACCACCAATGATCCCTTTCCACACAGCTCACGAAGCACAAGAGCTGCTATTTCTGGTTTCTGTCGCTCCTTTCCCCAGCAAAGACAAGCGAGCTGAGCTGCTGGTCTGTAACAGCAGCAGTGAGCAGCTGGCCCCACCAGGTGGCTGCTTTCTCAGTTTTGTGCCTCTCAGAAGCACAGGGAGCACAGCTGGCAGGTCATTAGTCAGAAAAGATGCTGGACAAGACAACGGTTTGCAATGAGAGTGTGAGAGAATAGTTTGTCCCTGTGTACAAGAATGTTTTTACACACGAAAAACATCAGTAGGATGAAAACTTTCACACATTTTGTTCCAAAATCTCCTGCAGGAAGTGAGGTCTGAAGAAAGGGCTTTCCATTGCTCTTAAAAACCTCACATGTTGTCAGCAAACTGCAAATCGTTCACCTTTTGCTTCAGTGTTTATACATGGAAAAATAAAGGGTCAGCCTAGTGCCATTATTGTGGGGCCACGTTCCCACTGGAAACACAGCACTGCCAGAAGCAGCACTACCTGCACCGTGCCATCAGCACAAGCTGCCTCATAAGCTGAAGGAAAATGGGAACATCTGTGTGGAGCTTACATCACCCAAAACACACATACATCACACGTGCAGAAAAACGTGGCGAGAGCCGCTAACACCAAACGGATGTTGGAGGGTTTAATTTCTTCCATCTACAATTATAAAAATCTCATCATCAAATGTTACAGTACATTTACATCAGCAAAACCCCACGGCCTTCCTCGGCTTCTGTACAAATCACATACAATACAGAGTTGCATTTTAGTCGTACAGACATCATTTTACATCTTCAACACAGTGGAAAGTCTGGTTCTCTGGCACGTCCCTTCCCACACGGTGCCTGCACAGCACAGCACGGAGCACTGCTGGGATCTCCAACTCCACTCACGTGGACTGACCAACAGCCCTACAACTCCAACGTTGTAAATAATGAGAAAATCTGCCACTGGTTTGTATAACAATCAACAGTTTATTAATGGATATGGTGAAATTTTAGCTATCCACCAAAGATGTGTAAAAAATTGTCATGAAAGTAAAAATAAATAAAGCTGTTTTTAAAATCAGTCTCGTTTTACAACTCGGTTCAGAATGCGACATTTAACACAAAACTGTCATTAAAGTTTTAAAGAAGTCTACTGATATTCAAATTACAGCTTTTATGACAAGTCTAATGAGAACTGAAACTGATTTGGTTTAGGTTTAAAGACTTTCACATTCAAATACAGTGTCTCATTTAACACAATACTTCCTTTGACAGTGATGGGCAACAGTGATGACATATTGCTGTATTTTGACATAAGGCACTATGATATGAATATGCCATACACTTGCCTTATGTCACATATATCCATTGCTGACCAGTGACTTCTGTCAAATACAAAATGAAAAAGTTTCAGAATACAGTGCATTTTAATGAAGGACATCGTGTGAAGTCTTCCAGCAAATGTTCTGAAGACGTTTTGAAATACAAGCCTACATTGTAACATAAGCTTTTGTCATGCTGCTTTGTTTTTTTGCGACATCACTGGGGGGGAATAGACTCATCATCCATCACTAAGTCCCAAAACACATTCTCAACCATCCTGCTCTGTTCTATTGCAGTCACTGTTCTCGAGACAAACTTGACCCAGAAACTTTGTTCAAGTTCTCCTACAAACGTTTATACATTCACAGCAGTCATTCACTTTCATTCTCCTTTTGTTTGGCACCTGTTAACAGAAGAGGAAAGCACGTGTGATTTCCCAATGCATACAGCAGCTGCCTCACAGAACTGCACCGCTCGTTCTGAACGCTGCAAGTACTGTCTGACCACGTTACCAGAACCATAGGACTGGACTGCATCCGTAAGGAGCACACTTCAGGACTGCTGAATGCTAACACAGGTTGAAGAAGGCCTGGAGGCCTGCCTCTAACTTCATTGGCAGGGTAATTCTCCAAGTCACAACTGCCTTTGAAGTACCGCTCCCCAAAAACGCCATGCTGCAAGCCTGTCCATCTGCCCAGGGAGCCAAGTTTAATCATCACAGTGCTCTTAAAAAGTGAGGTCATACTTGGGGAAAAAAAACCACAAGGTAGGAATTCAGTTTAACTACACTGCACTGAGTGGTTTTTCTGGCTCAGGGGCAGATTCTGCTTACAGTAAGAATCCAAAAGAGCTGTTGAGCAGAACCATGTAGTGCTGCGCCTCCTCTCCAAGCACTGCCTACACGCTGGGCAATGAGTGACCCCTAAGGTGAGCTGGCTTCGACACCCAGCTCCAGTGAGCAGAAGCTCTTGCCAACAACTGTTTGTAATACGTCATCACAAACACTGAAAAATCCATTACATTCACCCAGTTTTCATGTCACAACTGATTTCCCCCCTCCTCCTGCACACCAGTCTCAATTCCTGTCAGTCAACACATTTTTCTTTCTGGTCAGTAACAGGAAAAGGGCATTTACAGGGCGTGATTTACCTGGTCGTCCTCACACATCCACTGTAAGAGGTGAATCACATTCTGACCTACGTTGCAGACATCTTTACTTTGTCACCCCACATTGCTGGCAGCACAGCCCTGCCTGTGTGTTGTGCTACCTCCTGCTCTCTAGGGCTAGGCTCTTTTGTGACACCTGATGAATCCACAGCTTTTTTGCTGGCCAAGTTTCCCATCAGATCAATGGGATAAAGCAGCTCACAGAGGGATCTCATGAGAAGCTGCCACATGCTAAGCACCAGAAGCACATGACCTGGAGTACGGGAGTGGGAAACCCCCTTGTAACTCCCCTCAAGGATATGCTCAGCTCTGTTTCCTCAACGTGGTATTTTGAAGGCAAAACTGTGACCTTCAGACATTTTCTGTCTGTCTTTCTCACAAAGCCAGAGGAGAACTTTGCTTTAGTCGTTGTGACACTGAAGTCATTTACACAACCAAAGTGAAGTTCCAGTTAAGAACACGGAGCAGATCAGTGACTTGGGCAAAAGTAAAAAGCAACAAAACAATCCAAGTAAAAGTAGCAGAAAAAATTAAATGTGCTGATAGGTTAAAGGGAACCTGATCAAGTTTAGTGATACATCAGAGTTCTACCGGAATAATTCACTCTGGTGTGACATCTCTAACACAGCAAAAAGTGACAAATACTGACAATTAAGCACTTTGTTGGCTTTTACTTGCAGAGAAGTGAAACACTTATTTGAAGAGTATAATCAAACTTACACAACTTTTAAATCAGCAACGTATTTGTTATCATACCAGCAAAGACCAGCAAGCTGTATGCACTACTGAATGACTTACGGCAAACATCAGAATGCAACATCCATACCTGCTGGCGTGAGTACCAAAGCCTGTAGAATGTCAGAAAGGGAGATGATACCCACAATGCTATCTGCTTCATTCACTACCACCAAACGATGAACCTGCGAGCAGGGAAAACATTTTGAGAGATTTTCCTGATGTGAAGTAAGAGCTAAAGGCACACAGCTGCCTGACGGCAATAAAATCATACCTGAAATGGCAGACAAGCCAAGATCTATGCCTTGAAAATACTACAGAATGGGAGAGTGCCCTCATCTCAGCACTGCAACCCAGCTCAAGCTGGGAGCTGTGCAACCAAAGGGTCATAGCTGAGCCACCTCATAAAGAGGTCATCCTCAGAAGGATGTCTGTCACAAGTAGAGACCTTGGTACTGCTTTACTTCTTACCCAAAATGAATTTGGGCTTCAAGTCTAATTAATCAAATGCAATTGTGAAGAAAGTGAAAAATATTTCTCATCTTTTCACAGAAGTGACAGCAAGAAAGCTGCAGTGTCTTGACTTCATACAGATGTGAGTTTATTGTGGAGGTCAATAACTTCGCCGCCAGTCAGATAAAGCAAAAAGAAAAAAAGAGGATCTCAGATGTATTTGCAGAGTCACACTCAGCTGACACTGTGAGGAAACACTGCGAGAGGGGGAAAGTGGGAGAATATGTTTTGCATTTTCTTTCTGCCAAATCTATGTTGGTGATATTTTCAGTGCACACACACACACACACACACACACACACACTCTTTCTTCTCTCAGTGTAATGAATTCAAGAAGAATGGACAGTGTAGTTGTTTCACATCCAGTGAGATCAAACATTTTGTCTGGCAGCTAAAAATAGCATCAATTAGTGCCTCCCTTGTGGCTTTGACTGACTCATTTTTGCATAGCCTCACTATGTTTAGACTGAGCCAAAGGGTAGGAGTTGTTCTGAAAACCCAAATGTCTAAAGCTTCTGAAGACATTAATTAGATCAGCCACATTTGGAATCTGTGCATCAGCAATGCTAAAATCACTGAGTTTCAGGAAGAAGCTCAAGCTGATGCAGGAAGCTGTGTCAAAATCACCTAATGGAAGTTCTGAGGGGTTTTTTTTTTTTACAACATGGGAATTCTGCTCATATTAAGCAAATGTACAGTTATGGCCCCAAAAATGAAAAAAAAATGTTGTAAAATTGAAGGAGTCATTCATATCTATGTGTAAGAAGGTTCCCAGAACTAAAATCAGAGGATAAACCACACAAGAAGTACAGGAAAAAAGCACTGAGTCATTTACAAGACAATTGGTGAACAAGTTCTTGGTAAGACTTTATTCCCTGGCTTTGTTTCACAGTTTGTATTCTTTTAAGTATATGTAAGTCAAGAAATCAAATCAAATCTGATCCCTACATATGTAAACATGAACAAAACATATTTTCTTCAAGTAACCAAAATAATTCCAGAAGGATAAATTTGTCCTATTTATTAGTTTGGTCACACAACTTTTACAGGGAGGGGAAATAAAAAAACAGTGGCAAACTCACCTCAGCCTTCACTATCCTATCAACAATGGTCTCCAGTGTTTCCAGCATACTACACTTTACAACACCTTCAAAATACTGAGAACGGTGCTGTAGGGCTTGTGTCACTGTGATATCTAGGTTATTATAGGTTTTTTCAGCAGCAAGGTTCTGAAAAACAAGGCACACTGCTCACTACTTAGTGATAAAGTACTCAACAGAGCAAATATCTTGGCACCAAGTAGACACACATTTCGGGGGTACATTGAGTCTGTTCCAAGTCACATATTAAACAAAGCAGATGCTCTTCAGTTGCAGTTTTTAGGAACAGTCAAAGGTGCAACTAAATTACACATCATAGAAAGACTGGATTAACTGATAATAATGTTTTGTGACTATACATTAGGCCCATGAAAGTCTCCTTACTTCGTTACCTAATATCTGGCTTGATGTCACTCATCCTGCTTCTGCCACAAGGAAAAAAGGAAAGATGATGTTCTATAGATTTCAGAATATACTAGAAGAACAAACCATTTGTTTTGATTTTCAAAGGCCAGGTGAGGACAATATTTTGGCTAGTCTGAACTCTACCCATTAAGTAGATCCTACTACAGAGATCCAAGTGGAAAACAAACGGTAAGTCTTCTTCAACCTTTCTATCTGCAGGCTCGAACTCCCTCTCCTGGACTGTGCTGGAACTGCCACTCGACATACATTGCATCTATTTTATTAAGTACAATAAAAACTTATATATTAGCACATTAATTTCTAATTGCTCACTACATAAAAAACACAATAGAATTTAAAAGGCATACTTACTATTACATCAAATTTGGAATAAATATCTACAACTTTTCCTAGAAAGAAAAACATGTATTAATAAAGTGCTTGCAATAGAAAGAAAGTTTTCTTGTGTCCCGTTTTCATTTGTTATTTTGTAATGATACAGAGAGATCAAGAAGGAAAGATAGAAAACCAAACAAACAAAAAAAAACCAAATCAAAACTGGCCACCCATGATGAATCTTCCACGTCTGTCAGCCTCTATCTTGCATAATCATTCTACATATTCTAATCATATATATATAAATTACATATATACACACAATGTTATACATATATAAAATCAATCCAGGCTTCAACAGCATTTATCTTACCACACTTGTGTACAGCAGAATCAACACACACCTGACTCATCCACAACAGGTAAAGCCGATATCCTTCTCTCTACAAATATATTCAAGGCTTTAATGATAGGAGTGTCTGGATGTATGAAGGCAATGTTGTGGTAAGTTCCTATTCCAAGTTCATCCAGATTCTTCTTCATAAAGGCAGGCTTTGGCATTTCTGACATCTAGGAAGGGCAGATGAATGTATTTACACAATGCAGTTTTCTGCATGACACACCACAGTTACCGAGTTTTCCATACGTAATTAGGAAACATATTCACTCATCCATCTTGAGACTCCAAACAATTGTTACAGATCATTATGATAATCTGTTACTAGGTTTAGATAAAGCCAAAACAAGCTTAGATCTAGAAGCATTAGTACTGTTCCAACAAGATTTAAATTGAGACTACACATCTAAGCTGTTTTGCTTGTCAGTTTTTCTAATGGCCCATCACTAAAATCTTTGGATCCTAAACTATGTCATCCCCATTGATCTGAAAAGGGAAGGCAAAGATGTGAGATGCTGCATGCTTATTTTGACATCCTTTTGATTGCTTTGCCTCCTGTCCATTCCTGTGACCAACATACAGTACAGTAACTTGTGTTAAGCTTGGCTCTAGGAGATGAGACATTATTCTACTCATGTAATCAAAACAGCTCCTGCAGCTGAGATCACCCAGAAGACGATACCAAGATACTCAAAAAGCCAAGACATATCCCTGGTGTTTTTTGTTTGGTGTTTGCTTCTTTGCCTTCAGATGATTAAAACCAAATAAAGGTAATGTCTAGGCTACAGTGTATCACCTGAGCTTCTCTGTTAGCAGAAAAGATGCACGGAGAAACAACAGAGTGCCCAAACATGGAAGATTACCATGAAGTTTCTGAACACGTTGCTTAACATTGGAGAGGTCTACCTGGGCTGGAGGTGAGTGGGTAGAGGGAAAATATCAGTTAAAGCAAAACAGAAGTACTTACAAAAAGCTGGAGGAACTTGAGGATTCTTTTATGGGTAAGTATATAAAGTGCATTTCCACTGACGGGATCTATAACTGGCAATCTGTGGATTTTGTTTTTGATCAATGAATATACAGCATCAAAAAGGCTGAGGAGAAAAGCATATTTTAAAATAAATGGTTGCCAAGAAAGAGTAACATCAAGTGATGCATGTACAGGTTTACAAACCCATAGAAAGGACACAGTTAACGGCATTACCTTTAAATGTTACAGAAGTTAAGGCCTTTCAAATTATGTTTTCTAGGATATTCCATGCAAGCAGCTCCATTCAGACACAATCCTTATGACAAAACTGAATAACCTGTTCATGGCTTAACAGTAACAATACTACTGAGGATATTACATGCAATTACTTGGAGATAATCACTACAGCTTACTTTAAATGGTATAAGCAATCCTATCCCAAAAACTAAAAGCAAGAATCAGAAGTTCACTCTCCTGCCCTAGTTTACAATAGAAGCTGTTTCTCTGTGCGAAAGACGACTCAAATTCAGTGTTGAAATGGAGTTCGTTTCTTTCAAGTTAAGCAAAACAGAAAGGGAAATCCTACCTTGCATCTGGGGAGATGTTCACTAAAGGTTTAAACGTCTCTTGTAAATAAAGTTCTGTGCATAGAAAAGCAAACCATTACCATTTCTGTGGGAAAGCAGCAGCAGTTTCATAAAAGCACTTCATGAATTCCTTAGCACAAAATTAAACGAGCAGAGGAGACAATGACTATAGATACCCTACCACCTGTGCATGTTCATCTATGCCGACAACAAAGAGAGGCTGAAATTCCAACAGGATTAAGCTGACTACCACCAGGGGTCACTGCGACCACAGCAAACCATTTGCTGATCTCTTCTGAGCAGACTGGTTTGTGCAGAGGGCTGATCTATGTTATAACACGGCATGCAGTCCGTTTCCTCACAAAGATTCCTGGCTGCATTCAGCATTTCTGCTCACATCCCCCACATGCTATGAGTGTTGTAACCATACTGTGCAGCTCTCTCAGGCACGGCTTGCTGCTCAACTCTCACTTCACTCAATACCTACAACCATCTATTCACTCTGCACCCCGGTTCAGTTACATTCCCATTCCAGGTACAGACATCACTCTGAGGCCAGTGCACCCCCTGGTGTGATTCCATTTCTTTTTAAGAAAATATCGAGATGGTACTGAACAGGGAAAAGTAGTGAAGCAATACATAGCATAATCCTTCTAGTTCATGTACTGTTCCAGGTAGAAAAAAAAAAAAAGAGCCCCAGGAAGAAGCAGACAAGCTTTTATTATTCCTGCTTCTATTAAAAAGTATGTGGAGAAAAATATGTTATGATTAATTAAAAATCCACTGTACTTAACATTAATGATAGACTTTTAACTAGCAACTGAGCAGTAAATGAACTTACCCCTCCAGGTTTCTATTTTGTGCTCCTCCAATTCATAGATCTGAACCTACAATAGATGGAAGGTATTAATTTTAAACCCAAAATAATTAACAATATTATCTATCTCTGAATTATTCCCTTATTTTTCATTGCGGGCAATTTAACAAGAATCCAACTAATTGCCCAGACCAGAATAATATTTCTTGGCAACATTGAGACAAAAGTGTGCAATCCTGCTCGGTGCAGAATACCACACAGGACCACATCTCAGGGGACAGGAGAGATGTTTCACTTGCCCAAGCTATAGCCCAGATCTCTTCTAGACTCACCTTGAAATAATCACCCAGAGGAAAGTCTCTGATAATCCCTCATACACCTCAACAAGAGCTTATCCTGATCACCTCTTAATGCTAAAAAGTGATTAACTTTACATTTGTTGAACTACAAACAAAAATGCACTTGTTTTAGCTCCTTCCACACTGCTCATGGTTCTCTGAAAGGGCTTAAGATGCAGAAGCTGCTTTTCTCTTCAGGTACCAAGCTGCAAGCCAGCCACTCCCAACAGGTAACAGTTGTGCTTGCCATAGCATAGGCCAAAGCAGCCTGTTGCCTTCTACACTGCTCCTCTCTGCCTGTACCTCTGTAAGCCCTGATGGAGCTGAAGAGTGTGCAGGTGAAGGGTAGGAGCCTCCACAAAACCTACTCCACTCTTCTGTGAGCCAATGGAGACCATTTTTGGATCACACTGGAACTGGCACCCTTCAAAGAGTGTAAGAGAATGTTAAATTACCACACTATAATTGGGCTACGCAATGTACTCCTTCTGGGTGGTATAAAAGATGTCCAGATGAGTAGTAAAGACTTCTTTCAGGGTATTTAAAAAACAAAACAAAACAAAAGATTAAAAAAGAAGCCAGCTAAGCTTGTGGAGCACAGTTCAGTCTATCAAAGTGATGAGAAGAACAGGAGAACTCCTCAGCTGCTGAGAAGATGAGGCCAAGTCCAGCTCTGTGATGACACCATATGGATGAACGTACCTGAACTTTCCTGATTAGTCATTAAAGAATACTATCTAGCTCATGAAGAGTAATATGCTTCACACCGTGAGGGACATGGTGTGTTTAGGAGTGATTAAAATACTTAAAAACTGAATTTTCAGCACAATTGCACTTGGTAGAACTAGAGCATCCCCCAACCGAACATTTACTATTTCTTTTTCTTCTTCTACAGGAGATTGCATCAGTCACCCTTCGGTCAGATGTTGCCACTTCTCAGTTATTCACCCTTCCCCAGCCCAGAGGCTGTGTTTAGCACCACCTCTTCTATGGACTTCTGCACAACAGCATGTTAGATAGCACAAACAGGAATGGCAACTGCTAGACCATAAGTGAAACTGCACAGGAGCACTGGTTATGTGACAAGATATATCACTGTAAATATCAAGAACAGACATGATCACCTAACTTTGAGAAGCCCGATATCACAGAATGGCCTGGGTTGAAAAGGACCATTATGAACATCTAGTTTTAACCCCGCTGCTATGTGCAGGGTTGCCATCCAGTAGATCAGGCTGCCCAGAGCCACATCCAGCCACATCCACATACATCAGAAGCCTGTTCCATCCAACTGCCAATTCTTTAGCTACTAAAACACAGTACGTATATTTTAATTCAGTGGGGAATTGGCATTGACAGGAACAAGAAAGGGATGTAAATGTTTGTATGAACATGTAAGCAAGAGAACCTCATCAACCGACTGCCAATGGGAATTTTTTAAATTACAGTTAATTGAAGTCAAGAGATCTTCAACTGATTGTGTAACTCAGCCACGCAACTAAAACCTCTGCGTTTGTTCAACTAGGTTAACTCATTCTTTCTAAAGCACCACTTCAGGATTTGAGTTACCTCTTAATTCCCCCACGGCTCCACAAGCCAGCTTTGTGCTCAGCTCCACATATTCCTCTCAGAATAACTCTCTATCAGTTATGAGACAACGCTGATTTATTTATAAAGGTATACATTAATAAAAACAACACCAGCCACTGTGCAGCCACATATTTGATTTTTAAATACAACTAACTTTTTCTTACAATTTCAAGCACTCTCCAGCCCTGCATACAATATTGTTTGATAATGTCCATTTACATGGAGTTCTGATTAATTTTAATTCATGTGTTTTGAAACAATCTGGACAAAAACACATACAGTGATCAATAATCAAGTATTTCACGTTCATACATTTATACTCTGCCTAGTTTTTAATAAATAGGTTATTGCAGGTCCTTCATTCCAAGAGACAATAGCTGCAATTCCAAATGGAGCTTGGTACCCAACCCCAAGGCTCTCATGGTGAAGCACCACACAGAACACAATAAATGGCAGTGCTCATTAAGGAAATTCCTCATGTTTACACATGTCTAACAGAAGCAGAAAATTATTTTACCTGCCCAAGCTCATAGGACCTTAATGGTTAAATGGTTATAGCCAGGAATTGAATAGATGTATCCATACACCATTCTACTTCCTTGAGCAAAGCATTTTCTCTCAAAAAATTCTGAGTGTACTCATGACACGTCTAAGCTTCCAGACACTTAAAATAAGTACAGTCCATCCTTCAAGCAGTTTGATATTTCACTTTCTATACTGTATGACAACCGATAGAGGCTTAACATCATACTCACCATCGGAGATTTATAGTATCTATGCAGTATGTTAATGAAATCTGTAATTGTTAACATTCCTACAAAAAGCGATACAGAAAGAAAGTTCTTCAGACATGACACTTCAAACACAGAACTTCAGTTATTTTCTCAATTTACAGTCACACTCTATAATGTAATAAACAATAAATCTGTGCAACACACTGCCCATTTGCTACGTATGTAAATGTTCACATTGATACAAAACTTCACAATAAAAATATACAACTGTGAATTAACATTCAAAGCCACAACCTATGTGCTTCTCCTCTTCTTTCAGTCTCACGAAAGAAAATCTATTTCTTCCACTGTGGGATATAATATCCATGGCATTCCAAGTTAGTTCTGGCACTCAATGATTTCACAGTGCACCTTACTGAGAACACGCAGAGAACCACAAGCACATGGGTGTTATATTTTTCTTTCCATAGTTCTTATTTTCACGGTTCTTTTTTTGTGACCATTACGGTTATTTTTAAGTGCACAGGGAAAAGCATACACTAGATAACAAATTTCAGAAGCTCAAGACCTCAAAGAGTCACTGTGACTGTCAAAGAACAGCACAACTATGCAAGCTAACAACATTTCGTGCCTCACAAGAGAAAACAAAGAAACCCAGCAGCATCGCTTAGGATGTCAGACCATGGCTAAACCCAGAGCACCTCCCACAACAGTGCAGAGTGCAGCACGCTGAAAATTCAAATACAACTCAATCACGTTAGAACAACTTACCTACAAAACTCTGTTTTTTACTCTCCCACAGTGGAGCTGCTCTCACACCATTTGCCACCAAGGCGAAAAAGGCCTTCTTTACCTGCAAAGAAAGTGAACAGCGACATAAATCTTTGCTCTTAACTTAGCACACCAGACAGCAGCAGAAGGATTTCCACAGTTACTAGGAAAAAACATGGTTATGAAGAGGTAGCTGCTATTCAAAACAGAACAAAAACCACACGCGCTGCCAAACAAAAACCTTAAAGCCTTTTACTTCCATAGAAGGCTTAAAAAACTCAGCAAAACCAGACCTGTTTCGTTCCATTATGTGAATGTGCCACGTGAGAACCTCTGATGAACGAGTATCTCTACATCCATGGCATTGCTCTTTGGTCCAAAGAGCACAGAAGTACCAGCTGCAATCGCCTGATGATCGCGAGCTGAACAGACAGCATTTACACACTGACACTTAACATCCACTGACAGCTCCGTGCTCAGAGGTTCCTTTCCACAACAGCCAGGAATAAAAGGGCTTCACGTCAATGGAATTTGTACACAAAAAAGCAGCAACAAACAAAAATTCAGGTAGGCAAAGAGCAAGTCTGTTACTGTTCAGTGCAATCTACCCAGAGGAAGTTTGCAAAGCCCTCCAGGTGAAAGCCAGTGTAATACCACATTCAGCGTGACACCTATTTAGACATCACTGAATTATAATTTATCAGCTTCAATTTCTAGAAGTGAATAAGCCTCTCAGTCTGCAACAGAAAGCAACACCTCTTCCTGCAGCTCTGTAATTCACACTCAGCATTTTGCTACCTGGCGCTGCCCTACTTGCATGCAAACCCCAGCCTTTGAGGTGGGACTTCTGAAAGCAACCCGTATTTCTTGCAATCTCTCAACAGCCAGTCTGCCTCTGCCCTTCTCACAAGAAGCTCACCTGCTTCCCTGATCTCAGCTCAGCTCTCAAAGCTGCCTTCAGAACTCACCGATCGTTCTGCCACACCATCCATGAGCAGGAATGATGATCCACATCCACCCCTCATCTGCACTGAAACTGAAGAAACCGTATGGGAAAAAAAATACCAAGCACCACAAATAAGACTGTAGTGCACACAGCATGCACTAATTTTCTAGAAAGTGGTTAAATAGAAAGGTGCCAGAGGTATTAAGGCACCCTAGTGACACAGGGAGGTACTGAGTAAAACAAGCATTAGGAAATGCACCACAGGAGCACGCTAACTCAACAGGAATACTGAAACCACAATGAAACCCTGCAGGCAGATGCACCAAGTGCTCCCACACAGCAACATCACGCCTGCTGTTAGCACAGCAAAAGCTAACAGCAATATTTGGAGAGCACATAGGAGACAGAAGTGAGGTCACACAGACTCCACCTTGGGGCAAATTAAGTCGGTTCTAATGAACCTTCATTAAAAAGAAAGAAAAAAAAAAGAACACTCAGAGTGCCCGAAGCTGGGAACCTTCAGCTTCTGTATCTTTCCATAACACTATCACGCATTTTAAGAGGTCACTGTCAACTCACATCCCAAGCCTTCCGCAAGATTCAGATGGTCAAGCTCTAGCATAACACTAAGATTAAGATGCTTCAGGCAATCTCCAAATTCATGCTATTACTACTCTTTCTCAGACAAAACAGCACCAAAGTACACCATCTAGAAAAGTGTCCGGCTGGTAAAAATGCAAGATTAATTCTTGCCCTGGTTCTTTGATTTATTAGCAAGCGATTTGTGCCAAAGAAACCCAAATCTTCTGTTAGATGCCATCCCAACGAGTTTACAAGATGGTTTTTGGAAAAACTGAGACCTGCTGCAATGATACAACTACTAAGAGAGTGGAGCCAAAACTTTAAAAGCCAGTGAGTTCAGATTGGGACCAGCAGTATTAAACTTTTAAAATAAGTTATCATCAAAATGCCCCATGCCTGGAGGCATTAAAAGCCAGGCTGGATGCGGCTCTGGGCAGCCTGCTCTGGGGTTGGTGACCCTGCCCATGGCAGGAGGGTTGAAACCAGATGATCTTTCAGGTCCTTTTGAACCCAGGCCATTCTATGATTCTACAATTCAATGAAAACTTAGTAGGAGTTGCTTATATTATATTGTATTATATTATATTTTCCTCCTAAACCACAGCTTAAGCAATGGCCCTACTGTTCTCTCCAGTTTTATACATGAAAGTGTTATATAGTTACCTTTCAAATAATGCCAACAATTAAAGTTACATTAGTACTTGCCTCTTCTTTAAATAAGGTCGTAATGAAGCAAACACCAACTTCATTCTTATTTGCTAAAACCACTTGCAAGCGCAAGCATCCAGTCCCCCACTCACACTTTCTGTGATTTCCCAATTTCAGCTGCCCAAAGCACTGCTGGGTGGGCAGCCAAGGCACTGGGCTGTGCAGCTGGGCTTCGATCCAACACACGCAGACATTTCAGTGATGTTGGTGCAGAAAATATCCACAAGCACCTTTACTTCAGATTACGTACAGCCTGCAGCCTTTGAACATTTCCAGCACATGCCGTCATTAGACCTCCAGCAGTACTGGTAATTCCCAGCTCCACCAGCACTGCTCGCTTGAGCCAGCTTTGTGCTGTGGTCCCCTGATCTCAAGTAGAATGCTGGAATGGCCCGACCTTCCCAAAGCCATTGTTCTGTAGCCAGGTCCCAAAGAGCATTGCTGTTCAATGCCACGTACAAACATTTCAGAACAAAAGCACTTTCTTCCTTATTAACCATGCAGTGGTTCTGAGAAGCACAGCGAACCGTTCAAAGATGGTCCTTGTCTGCTCAGATTTCAAGATGGACTTGATGCATGCTGACCTTATTCACCTCACCTCTTCATAATCAACAGGGGAAGCAGTTATTTCTGGGGCACGACTCACCAGCCTTAGACTGAGACAAGCTGCATCCCACAGACACCAACCTGCCTCACACATACACGTTTACGTGTTGTTTTATCTAACTGCTCTCATAAGCGACCAATGGATTTCAAACTCACCCACCAAGCCTGCCCCATCATGAGGGTGACTGCTAACACTGCAATCATTTGTTTCATTCACCCAGCAGAAAGATTCTCATCCTGGAGAAAGGTTGTAATGGGAACCTGGTGGTGAATGGAGAACGCAGAGCACAGCAGAGCACAAAGCCGTGCTGAAGGAGACATCTCAGCACTGTGGTCTCAGTGCCAATGTTAACTTGAAAAAGGTGGAAGATAAGAGAAGTAAGAAACACAGCAACTCCAAATCTGCCACTGTGAAGCATAGGAATGACAGGAAAGATTAGCAGCACAAGCAGCATTAAGAGATCTTCCAGGACCCTGTGGTATGGCTGTTATCCAAGGCCAAAGTGATTAACGCTGGTTGTGCTCCAGAAGGGCAGGCTGAAGAAAGAAGGTGAAGCCCAGGAGAGGCCCACAAATGAAAAGACTGACCTCTGCAGCCTGTGGACACCATGCAGAGCACAGCTACATGTGCAGCCCATAGTGGAGCAGAAGGTCTGGGGAAACAACCCCCCCCTGGGGCTCTGTGCTGGAGCAGTGACTGAAGGATGGGATCCGTGCTACAGAGCCATGTTGGAGCAGTGCTTGAAGAGCAGCAGCCTGTGGGAAGCCCACAGAGGGTCAGTTTGGGAAGGACAGCATCCCATGGGAGGGATCCCACATGGAACAGGAGCAGAGAGCAACCACAAAGGAACAAATAAGACGAAGCATTAAGGACTGACTACAGCCCTCATTCCCCTAGTTTGCTTCTAGTTCTCACTGCTCTGGCCCATTATCAATAGGTAATAAATTACACTAATCTCCCTCATGCAGTCTGTTTTGCCTGTGACAGCAACTGACGAGCAATCTCCCTGTCCTTATCTCAACCCACAAGCTTTTCTCCATTGTATTTTCTCCCCCGTGCTCTTAAGGAGGAAGAGTGAGAGAGCAGCACAGTAGTGCTGAGCTGTCTATTAGCATTAGGCCTCCACAGTTCCTCACAAAAAGGAAAATAAATTCCATGTTTGAGTGATAAAAAGCATTTGTATGTTTACAATAAGAAGTGCAGAGTGATTGACAGCCTCTGCTCTGCCCTCTCATTGCAGCCTCTCACTGTTTATAGGAGACTTATAAACAGGACAGAGACCAACCTATCTGATAGTGACAGGACAAAGGGGAACAGCTCAAGGACAGGCTGGATGGAGCCCTTAGTAACCTGGCCTGGTGGGTGTCACACCTGTTACAGCAGTGTAGAATGAGATTATCATTAAGGTCCCTTCCAACCCAAGCTGTATAGTGATTCTATGATGATTTTATGACTGTCCTAGTTTTTTACATTTTGCACAGTCGCTGTAGAGTGAAGGCATAAAAGCTTTCCATATTTCTTTCCTTTCAGGGGCCAAAGCACATTTATACTTCCAACACTTCCTACTTGCTAAGCACATCAGAAGTAGAACAGTCAGTCTTCGCTGTACTAGGAAAACAGCAGGCCTCTGCTGTGATCCCTGTACTGCAAAAGAACCCCAAAACCTCAGCAGCCTACACTCCATTCCTTTGGTTTAGGTGTGTTTATGAGCTGATCGCCTTTCAACTTCTTTTGATGCAAATATCCAAAGAATGGAGCAAGATCTCTTCACCCAACATAATCTGAACTATACTTCTCAAAGCAGCACAGCTAGTCCTATGGATGCCCACATCTTGGCACACCTGGGGAACACGAAAAACACAACAAAACCCAAAAAACACCCAAACACTCACAACCGATGTATGAGATGCAAGCCTGATGCTGTCTAACTGCAAGAACATCTTCCCAGCAGAGGGAACTGTCCCTCTCTGCTCTGCTCTCTTGAGGGCCCACATGTGCACCATGCTCAGCTCTAGGGACCCCCTCCCAAGGACATGGAGGGGCTGGAGAAGGTCCAGAGGAGGCCACAGGGATGCTCAGAGGCCTAGAGCACCTGAGCTATGGAGACAGGATGTGATTTAGAGAAGGCTCCAACAAGACTACAGCAACCTTCCAGCACCTACATGGCCTACAGAACAGCTAGGGGGGGACTCTTTATCATGGTGTATAATGACAGGACAAAGGGTAACAGCTTTAAACT